GCACCGCCATCAGGAGCAGCCAGGCCACCAGGAACAGCGGTGGTCCCCTGCTGGCAGGGGCGCCCACACGCAGGTCCCCACAGCCAGCCCTCACGCAGAGCTGACAGGCTGCTGATGGGCAGGTGGGGCCACGGCGTCACTGCTCCCCCGGGGGCCCGACCGCCACACAGCCACCCACACTCCAGACCCTCCCGCTGCCGCACCTGCAGTCTGCCTGGCAGCCTGCCTCCCCCCCCACCGCCACCCTTCTCCAGGCCACTGCGGGTGCTGCGCGGAACCGCCCCAGGGCCAGCCCTGGACCCCCCAGGCCGAAGGCGAGGAAGCCTCGTCCAGCAGGGGTCCTGCAGACACGGGCCACTCCACTGACAACGTGCTCGTGTGCCCGAGCCACTCCCCTCGCCCGGGAGGGGATGATGGGGTGGGAGGCAGGGCTGGACAGACAGAAGGGGCAGGAGGGACGTGCCAGGGGCCTTCAACACCACCCTGCCCTGCCTGCCCTGCCACAGCCACGGGCACTGGGAGCCGCCCAGCAGAAAGGGAAACCCTACCCAAGGCAGAGTCGGCCCTGTGCCAACCCAACCTCCTTCCTCCCTCAACAGCCCCAACCCCCGTGATCCACCAGAGGCGGGCCTGGCGGCTGTGCTGCCCCAACACCAGAGAGCGACCTCTGCCCAACACACCCCTGCATCCGACGTAGCCGGGGCCGGGAGTGCTGGGGAGAACCACGCCGGGGCAGGGGGGGCAGGGGGTCGGGGAGAAGAGCAGCCAGGGCCCCAGCCCAGGGAAGCCCAGGCCGGGAAGCCGTGAGGCAGGTTTCTCCTACTTGGGTCTCAGGCTGGACATGGACGGGCCAGACCGGGCACCAGGTCGGTGAGCCAGGGACGCGGCTTCGAGGCGCCAGGCCACGCGCAGGGCCTCAGCGGCATGGTGGCGGCACTCTGCGCTGTCATAGGTGGGCTTGCTGAGCCAGGGGGCCTCAGCATCTTTGTGCAGGAGATACCAGTAGGGCAGGGCAGAGGAGGCCTCCCCGTCAACCCGCCGAGGCCCGACCCGCTTGCTTCCCACGGCGTTGCGGCCCCGCCGGTCTCTGCGGCCCCGCCTGGCGCCCTCGGCCTGGCCGGCTCGCTCCTGCAGGCGCACCTTCCCGGGGGGGTGGCCGTCGAACATGGCCTCGTAGAAACCCCTCTCTGCCGCGTCGTACTGGGGCTTCTCCAGCCACACCCCCTGCACCAGCGCCTGCAGACTAGCCGGCGGGGATTGGCTGTCGGTCAGTGGATCGGGCTGGCGGGGGAGAGCCAGATCGGGGGCGGCTGCCGGCCGGCCCATGTCACACGCCCCCTGCCTGCCGCCGCCCCCCGCGGCCAACAGCAAGGCCTGCGACCACTCCACGAACGCCCGCTCGGCCTGGTCGAAGGAAGACTTGTTGACCCAGATGCCCCAGGTCACATGGTGGCAGGCCACCTGGCTTCCATGGGTGCAGGGACCCCGGGGGACCAGGGTCACCCGCTGGGCTGCCTGGGCAGCTGCATCCGCCAGCCTCTGGCGATAGGAGCTCTCCGCCCGGTCGAACACGGGCTTGTCCAGCCACACGTGGTCGGCCGAGAGGCCTGCGAGGGCCAGGTCGGCCCGGCCGAGCCAGCTCTTGGGCGAGCGCTTCCGCTTCTTCTGCAGGGGCTTCTTCCCGTCGTGGCCCTTCCCGGGCTCGCTCCTGCTGCCGCCGTCAGGGGCGCCGGCCTCCTCGGCGTCCTCAGCGTCCTCCCGCCCCGGTCCCGGCCCGTTCACGGCGGCCGGCGCTCCAGCCAGGAGCTGCTGCGTGGCGGCGGCTCGCGTGGCCTCGAGCTCGTGGAAGTGCCACTCGGCCTCCTCATGCTTCTGCTTGTCCTCCCGGACGGGCTCCAGGGCACAGGCGGCTCTCCCGCTCCGCATCTTCCGCACAGCGTTAAAAAGCAAGCACAAGAAGGCAGTTGCAACACCATGGGCCACACGGATGGCGCCCCGCCCCCCTCCTCAGCCTGACTTTCGGGGCTGGCCGGGCCTGGGGATGCTTCCCGATGGGGGTGCCGGGAGGACACAAGCAAGAACCCGAAGTCAAGTCCACGGGAGACTCAGTAGAGCAATAAGCAATCACGTGCATGCGTGTGCGTATACGTGCAACTTTTTAGCTGTAAAACTAATCTTTCCTGATGCACCCAGGCTCCCCAAGGGGTGCAGAGGCTTCTTCAGCCACAGGCACCTTCTCCCACAGAGCCTCCACGGGGGGTTGCTAAATAAAATACAGAACGCGCCTACTTAATTTGACTTTTATATAAACAATAAATAACTCTTGGAACAAATACGTCCTGTGAAGGATTTCAGACATTTATAGGCTGAAGAATTATTCACTGCGCGTCTAGAATTTTAACTGGACATCCTTTGCTTTTATTAATCTGGCACCAAGGCACTGGTGCTTCCGTTTTCTAGAAGTGCACGCGGTGGTCTCTGAGGCCAGCCCCATCACGTCGGCCCCGTGGCGCCGTACGCCTGCCGCGGCCACCCTACCGCCCACAGCCGCGCACGCTCCCGACGGGAGCTGCCAAGGGTCTCAGACAAGGGTGAGCCTCTGGGGAAGCAGCTGGGAGCAGAGGGTGGCGTGTCTGCCCCTGCAGGGGCCACATCGGGGGCGACACAGGGAAGATGCTAGTGACCACCTGAGAGAAGGAGGCTGGCGGCTCTCATGTCAGCCGCAGCCACCCGTGGCCTGGGGGGTGAGCAGCTCCCGCCTCTGGGCGCGCCTGCAATACAGGAGGCCACAAGGCAATCTCTGGGTCTGGGGACGTTAGGGCGCCCTCTGGTCACGGAACCGCTTGAAGTGCAGGGCCGCATCCCTAGAATGGAGGGAGGCAGGCTGGGAGCTCTGTGTCCCACCTGCTACCGTGGATGAGCCCACGCCAAGAGCCTGAGCCTCTTCAATAGAGGTGATGTCCCCTCCAGTCTGGAAACCACAGTCTGAATAGAGCGGTCTGCCCACCGCCGCCACCACCTCCGTGGCCTCTGGCCAGGAACGGCTCAAGCCCACAAAGCCCCAGTAGCCACGTCTGCTCTTAGGACGTGCCCAAGGGTCCGAGCTCACGCTCCGTGGGCCTGTGCTAGCGGAAGGGCTGTAACCGGCAGACTCTGTCCAGCCACAGGCTGGCCGCTGGGCCCTGCTCCCGTGGGCTCCGTCAGCGCAGCCTCCCTGGGGCGCGCCCTGCTGGGCCCTGTGGCAGGAGACCAGGTGTCCAGAGGGAAGCTCTCCTACCACCTGCGGCAGCACCGACACCCCTTTCCTGACACCTTCAAACAGAACGGAAACCTCATTCTAATGGCCCCGTGGGACGTGTCGGCTGTATAAGCCCCATGTCCACCTGAGATGTGGGGGAAGATTCTCCCTTGTACCATGAAGGGACATGCTGGGGTCTCTAATGGCACAGGCCACAGAATGGAAGCCCCAGCCTTGCAGAGACCCCCGGGCGGCCCTGTGCCTTCCTCGCCAGGCCGGCAGCAGTACTTACCAAGGCCAGGCGGACACAGGCAGTGGTGAGAGGAGGGGAGCCTGTGCCAGAGAGGCGAGGCATTGTGACATCACCCGCTATCCGTGAGGGGACTGCAGGCCAATCAGGCAGGGCCTGTCTACCCTTCAACCTTTCTGGCAACAAGCCCCCAGCAGACCCTCAGCAGAGCAGCCCACGGCTAGGTTGGTTCGGCCCCTTGAGCTCCACCAGCTAGGCTGACCCCCTGCTGGGGGGGGCGGTGAAGCCCTGCTGGACCCGCTGGGCCTAAAAGCGGTGCTGGTCTCCTGACATCAGATCAGGTTCTGCTCAGAGCTCTGGGGGCCGCACCTCAGGGGAGGGAAACTGCTTCTGAAGACCTCTCGAGAACAAGGGGTGCGGCCTGCGGGGGGAGGGGCCTGGTGCCTGGCTGCATCTGCCAGGAGGCGGGGATGGGGGGGGCACCTGGCTCAGGGGGTGCCCCCCCCACAGGCACAAACTGGCTCAGCCCAGGGACGCATGGAGATCCTGCCCGGCGGGATCACAGCCCGAAGCCAGCAAATCCAGCTGCTCTGTGCTGCCCACAGGAAACCGAGGCCTGGCAGCCTGGCCAGGCCGGGCCTTGCGTGGGGGCTGAGGTGCCTCGTGCACTGTGGAGCAGGGGCTCCCTGGCTGAGGTGAAGGGAACGCTGGGCACGGGGCAGGTGGGTACTTACTTTCACTCCGGTCTCCTAGGACGGCATGGAGAGAAAGCAGCAAGGTTAGAGGCAGTCAGGCAGCACGAGTGGCTGGAAGGTCTTCACAGAGGCGCTTGGGACAGTGGCATGAGGCGTTTGGCCGAGCAAACTGAAGATGGGCACCAAACACCCCCCAACCCCCGAAGGCGACCGAGTCCACCCACTTGGGACAGCACCCCCCTCCCCAACACGAAACAAGCAGTTCCTCTGGCTCGCGTTGGCTGGAGCCCAGGCAGGCCCAGCAGGCCGCATCCGAGCCCCCGAGCCCCACGCTCCCACAGAGGCCCTCTGGGGGGGGGAGGACAGCCTCGCTGGCCACCTGCAGCTGTCAAGGGGATCCCTGCCTGGGCCCCGCTGTCATGCTGCCCCTAAATCCAGGCTGCTGGACAAGGCGCGAGACAACAAGGACCACACGTGGGGCTCAGCAGCCCCCGAGCCCCGGAGGCCATGCTGGGGCAGGGCGCTGCCGTCACCCCGGCCCTGAACAAAGACACAAAGTCCCCGCGGTGCGCACAGGACAGGGCTTTTAGTCCTTCACAGATGGGAAATCGGGTCAGAAACACTAAGTACCTCCCCCCCTCAAATCCAACAGAGGTAACAGTCCTGGAGCCGACTCAGAAAGCCCGCTGGGCGCCGCACGCAGGACCCGCCTGCCTTGCCCCGGGGTCCCCCAGTGGCTCCATCACCAGAACCCTGGAGATCTGCCAGGCAGGCCCCTTCACTCCTGCGTCTACCCCACGCTCCAGCAAGGACGGCAGCAGTAGCAAGTCACTGCCAGGGACACCCAAGGTGCCTTGTGGGTGCAGCTGATGCAAGGACACAGGCACGGGGGAGGCAGCTGTCCCTCAGGAGCACACGGTACGTCCCGGGCAGCCTACCTGCGGCCGCTGTGGTGACAGCTCTCCCCCCATGGCCCCCTCCAGACTCCCTGCAGGACCAGGCAGCAGGGTTCTCCTGCCCCCGGCCCCTCCGTCTCCCAGGACAGCCAGCGGAGCGCCCCCCACCCCTGCTGCCTCAATCTCCCTGGTCTCTGGGAGTGCTCATGTTCCCCGAGGACCTGATGAACTGAATACCCGTCTCTTCTGGTGAAAAAGCAAATGTGAGTTTAAGCCACACAGCGGGGACCCGCCTCTCGCCACAACACTGGCTCCAGGAAGCATGAGGAACAATGCCCCAGAACACCAGAGCAAGGAGCCAGGAGGAAGGGGCCTCAGGTGTCCCCCCGCCCTCCACCAGCATCTGCTGGCTCGCTCGCCCACAGGGCACAGAGCTGGGCCGCCCACAGAGGCCCAGCCCCAGTGCCGCAGGTAGGCTGACCTCTCCCATGGGAGGGGGTACTGTCCCCGTGAGCTGCCCAGGGTTCTTGGGGGCCACACTCTACCCAGCCACCAGGGACCGTTGCGAAGGCGCCCCACGTGGGAGCTGGTCCTGGCCACAGACGACCCCTCCCCTGCATCCGTCCCAGCTGGGCACATGAGCTGGGAGGGCAGTTCTCACAGCAGCCCCGGCAGCAACCCCATAGCGCACCTCTGGCTAGACAGCCTGGACAGCGAGGATGTGGCCCCCGGCAGGGCTGTGCCCACCAAGGTGCCAGGGGCCTGGAAGTCTCTCGGGGCCTGGCAGAATGGGGTAGGTTTCTTCGGAAGGGTCAGCCTCTCCCCAAGCTCCGCCCTCCACACCCTCCCCTGGACACCACCACATCGCAGACACACAGACACACCAGCCCTCCAGGTGTCCACCCAGGGGGCAAAGACCTGGCCCCCTTCTGGTGGAAGCGGGAACGGACAGGGGGTGTACGGGGGGCGGGGTCTGCAGGCCAGCTCCCTCTTCCTCGCAACAAAACCTGCTGTACATGCAGCATCCGAGGGCGCTGGGACACCTGGGACGTGGGTCACCGAAGGGGGGCACACACAGCGCTCCCTGGGCCGAAGGGCGCGGCTGCCCACGCATGGTGACACGTACCAGGGCGATGCCACTTGCCCCTTGCAGGGGAGACTCCACAGCCAGAACTCTTACCCACGTGCTTCCTGACCTCTCACCCCTGATGGCAGCCCCACTGACAAGTACCGGCCTGTCCTGGCGGCTGAAAGGGGACCCCACGCCCTCAGATTCCCGGCTCACGCCGCAGCTGCCCTCGTCACCCTGGGCAGGTTCAACAGTGCCCGCGCCTCAGATGCCACAGCCTGCCGGGTCTGTCTAAGCTGTGCCCCCAGCCAAGCCCCTGTGCCCCCTTCCCTCGGGGTGACCCCAGGACCACACATGCTTCCTCGACCCTTCTGTGCACACGGGCCTCACAGAGGAGGACAGGAGCCCGAGGGTCAGGGAGCTGAAGAGCCGGGGATCGTGTCTCGCTCCACCGCCCGTGCGGAGCCTCAATGCCATGCTGTCACCCACTTGGAGCACAAACGTGTCACCTTAAAATACCGGCACACGGCGAAGGCTCAACACTCTTGCCAGCTTCATGCCTGTGGAGCCCCAAGACACGACACCAGTGCACAGCGTGCTGGAAATGTTTTTCTGGTCAATCTTTAAATTCACACACACTGCAAGGAAGCTTCTTCACACACACGTCGTTCAAGCCATTGCCCCCTGCCCCCCCCCCCCCCGGTGCTGACCCCTGGCAGCCTCGCCCTGCTCGCGGGAGCAAAGCTAAGGGGGTGGCCCTGCATCGGGATCCTCCAGAGGGTGTTGTCTCTGGCCTGTGGCAGGCTCTCCCCAGGACTGGCATGAGGCCCAGAACACTGTCTGCCCTACACAGGGGACATGAGGATCCTGCTCCTCAGCTAAGGTGCCAGTCACTCTGCAAAACGACAGTTTCCTGGGATTCCACGTCCACAGGGCAGGGCACAGGAACACGCGAATCCCTCCTGAGCCCGCTCACTGGCGGCTCAGCCAGGCTCGGGGTACCCACAGAAGGCTGGGGTGTCAGCACCGACCCCGGGCCACGCCCACGCCCTCAGAGAAGGTTCCGGCCAGGGTCAATTTAAAGAGGTGTTCCCCCTCAGGCAGGGATCACCCCAAGGTTTAGCATGACAAGTATTTCTCTTGCTACAGGGTGGCCCTTCATTCTGGGAAGCCCCCACCCCACTCCACCCCTTTGGCTCCCTTCCTATTTCCACTTGTGTCCGTTTCTCGAAAAGGCGTCACCCACCCCTACAGACACCGGCTTCAAGGTCGCCTCCTGCCGGGACCCTTATCCAAGTCCGGACTCCCGGGCGCTCAGAGAGCCTCAATAATTTCTTACGAGTCATTCGGCAGTCACCCCCTTATTCTTTCCCGCGCTCACGAACCGTCAAGGTCCCACGAGCCCCCGAGCCTGTCCCGCTGGCCCAGAACCGGCGTGCGGCAGGTGCTTAACAGGCCCGGGACCAACCGAGACCAAACGGCGCACGTGGCGCCCGGCCTCCCGACAGCCACCTTCCCGCCGGGACCGCAGCCGGGGCCGCAGCGGGGGTCAGGCCGGCCACGTGGCCCGCGCGCCCCGCCCCTGGCGCCGCGCTCGCCCCGCCGCCCTCACGCCGGGCCCCCGGCCGCACGAGCGCCCCTGTCCCGGCGGCGCGGCCCCGGGCGCCCGCCCCACCCCCGGCCCCTCTGCAGCGCGAGCGGCTCCTGGGGCGCGGGCCGCGGTACTCACGCCAGCCAAGGACGCGGCGACCAAGCAGGAGGGCCCGCGGCGCGCGACGGCGGAGGAGAGGAGAAGCGCCCCGGCCGCGCACGGGAAATGAAGCAGCGGGATGCACCACGCGCCGCGGCAGGGGGAGCGGCCCCGCTCAGGTCCCGCCGGACCGTCACAGCCCCCGCGCGACGCGGCGCTCCCCGCGGCGCAACGACAGAAGCCAGTGGGAGGCCCCCACGGGGCTCGCAGTTTCCCAGAGGAGCCGGAGCTGGCAGCCGCGAACAGGGCCCCCGCTCGTCCGCACCCCTGCGCCGCGGGCGCAGTGGGCTCGCCGGGGCGGGGCGGGGCGGGGCTGCCGAGCCGGCACGCGCCGGACGGCGCGCGGGGCGGCGCGGCGCGGGGCCGGGTGACGCGCGGGGCGGGGCTGGGCGGCGGGGCCAGCGCGCCTGCGCCCCCGGAGCTGCAGAGACAAAGGGGAGGGCCCGGCCGGCCCCGCCCCCAGCGCCCCGCCCCGCGCGGCCGGCCGGGCCGGCGTGTGGCCCCGGTGCCCCCGCCTCCGCCGCCGCCGCCGCCGCCGCCGCCGCCGCCGCCATGTACCCCGCGGGTCCCCCGACCGGCCCATCCCCGCGCCGCGGCCGCCATCCCCGGCCCGGGCGCCCCGCGCAGCCGCCGCGGCTCCCCGCGCCCTCCCCGGCGCCCGCCGCGCGGCCGCCGCCCCCCGCGCCCGGGCCGCGGCCCCGCGTGGCCGTGAAGATGGCCTTCCGCAAGGCCTACTCCATCAAGGACAAGCTGCAGGCCATCGAGCGCGTCAAGGGCGGCGAGCGGCAGGCCAGCGTGTGCCGGGACTTCGGCGTGCCGGGCGGCACGCTCCGCGGCTGGCTCAAGGACGAGCCCAAGCTGCGCTGGTTCCTGGAGCAGCTGGGCGGCGAGGTGGGCACGCAGCGCAAGAAGATGCGGCTGGCCAACGAGGAGGAGATCGACCGCGCCGTCTACTCGTGGTTCCTGGCGCTGCGCCGGCACGGCGTGCCGCTGTCGGGGCCGCTCATCCAGGCGCAGGCCGAGGCCTTCGCGCGCCAGATCTACGGGCCCGAGTGCACCTTCAAGGCCAGCCACGGCTGGTTCTGGCGCTGGCAGAAGCGCCACGGCATCTCCAGCCAGCGCATCTATGGCGAGGCCGAGCCTCTGGCCGCGGGCCCCGCGCCCGGCCCGCCCGTCAAGCCGGAACCCGCGCAGCCCCCCGGCCCCAGCCCCGGCCCCTTGCCCGAGCGAGCCCCGGCCCCGCCGTCCCCTGCCGAGGGCGGCTATGGAGACGAGCAGATCTACAACGCGAACGTCACTGGCCTCTACTGGAAGCTGCTTCCGGAGCAGGCCGCGCCCCTGGGCGCGGGAGACCCCGGCGCGGGGGGCTGCGGCCGCCGCTGGCGGGGCGACCGGGTGACGGTGCTGCTGGCCGCCAACCTGACCGGCAGCCACAAGCTGAAGCCGCTGGTCATCGGGCAGCTGCCAGACCCGCCCAGCCTGCGCCACCACAGCCAGGACAGGTTCCCAGCCTCCTACCGCTACAGCCCGGACGCCTGGCTCAGTCGCCCGCTGCTGCGCGGCTGGTTCTTCGAGGAGTTCGTCCCCGGCGTGAGGCGCTACCTGCGCCGCAGCTGCCTGCAGCAGAGGGCGGTGCTGCTGGTGGCCCACCCGCCCTGCCCCAGCCCGGCTGCCCGGACGCCGGCCCTGGAGGAGAGCGAGGAGGCCCTCAGGCGGTGTCGGCCCGAGCCCCTCAGCTCCCCGGAAGAGCTGCAGACCCCAGACGGCGCTGTGCGGGTGCTGTTCCTGTCCAAGGGCAATAGCCGGGCACACATCCCTGCCCCCCTGGAGCAGGGAGTGGTGGCCGCCTTCAAGCAGCTGTACAAGCGGGAGCTCTTGCGGCTAGCTGTGTCTTGTGCGGGGGGCTCCCCGCTCGACTTCATGCGCAGCTTCATGCTCAAGGACATGCTGTACCTGGCCGGCCTCTCCTGGGACCTGGTGCAGGCCGGCAGCATTGAACGGTGCTGGCTTCTCGGCTTGCGGGCGGCCTTCGAGCCCCGGCCCCCCGAGGAGTGTGTTGGGCAGCCGGCCGGCCAGGCCGAGGAGGCGGCGGAGCACAGCCGGGTGCTCAGCGACCTCACGCACCTGGCGGCCCTGGCCTACAAGCGCCTGGCGCCCGAGGAGGTGGCCAAGTGGCTGCATCTGGACGACGATGGGGGGCTGCCTGACAGCTGCAGAGAGGAGGCAGGCCCTGGCCGGCCCCCGGTGCTGGCCCCTGCTGCCCCTCCACCCCCCGCCAGCCTACCCTTTGCCGTGGGGGGTGGGGAGGAGGAGGAGGAGGCCGCCGTGCCCACTGCCGGGGAGGCTGTCCGGGGCCTGGAGACTGCTCTTCGGTGGCTGGAGAACCAGGACCCCCGGGAGGTGGGGCCACCGAAGCTGGTGCAGCTGCGCTCACTCATCAGCGTGGCCCGGAGGCTGGGGGGCATTGGTCCCTCTCCCGCAGTCCCCGAGGACGGGGTGTGAACACGCCAGCCCCGTGGCCCCCCAGTGGCTGTTTTGCTGCTGCACTTGGAGGGAGAGGGTGCACACAGGCTTTCCGTCTTCCCTCCTTCCCTCCCCAGGGGTGGCCCCCCCACGGCCCAGGGGGTTCCAAGGAGCCCAGCACAGGCCAGCGTGGAGGGGCTCTGTTCCTGCTCCACTGGCCCCCATCCTCCTGAGGGGGCGCTAGAAGAGAGGCCTCGGGCTCAGACGCCTCCTCCCTGGGTAAGCAAGCTCGTGGGTCTGTGGTTCTCGCCGGCTCCCTTGCCGCGCACACGACACAGCGCACTTAGCAGAGCAGCTGTCGGCATTCCCGCCCCGGCCTTTGTGGGGCTGAGATCGTCAGCCCCGTGCCCGGCCGTACCTCCTGCCCTCAACCCCGGTGGCCCGTCACAGGCCCCGGACGAGGGTCCAGTACTCCTGTCATCTGGAACCCTGGTGCTTCATGGTTCCCGTGCCACGCCGTGCGATCATCCCCGTGCTGAAGCACACCACTCAGTTTTGGTTTTTACCACATTAGGTCCATTTTTACGGATACCGGTCATGGGAGCCAGAGTGGTGTCTCACCCCTCCCCCCCCCCCAGCCTGGGGGCCCGTCTTGGAGGTGGGCTCTCTCCACTGGGAAGGGAAGATAGTGCCCAGGCATTTGGGGGTCCTGAGGTTCTGGATGAGTGTAGACTTCCGTTCCACTGGGATTGTTAGTTTTCCTTAGGAAAATTCCATTCCAAAATCCCTCTCATTCTGTGGGGTTGGCGACCTTCTAGCCCTGGGTCCTGGTGACTTGACCAATGACTGAATGAGCTCCCCAGACCAGCCACAGGCCACTCTGTCAGCCCTGGAGCCCGGAGCCACGCCACCTGCCCGGCGCGGGCCTGTGGCCCTGACAGCCACACCAGGACGACCCTACAGTGCCTTAGTGTCCTTCAAGGCGTCCATCCCTCCCACTGCCGAGGGGGTGGCAGAGGCGCGGCATCCCATGGCCCCAGGATCTGGGCTTCCGGGTGGCCCAGTTAGAGAGAGGGAGGCAAGTGCTCGTGTGTCACTGCCCAGCCCAGGCCCGGAGTCTGCCGGAGGTCTGGGCCCCGGAGGTGCCCAGGGGCTCTGGGGACTGTCTGGAAAGCTGCTGCCCAGAGCCCCGTGCAGGGCAGGAGGGCCGGGTCACGGCCTGCACCGCCCCCCCCCCCCACCAGCACTGCAGAGGCTGTAGACAGGCAGCGCGCTGGCAGGAGGGAGCCCCTGGAGCAGCTTCCCCACAAGTCCGAGGACATAAGCTGCTCCTCGGAGCTGCCCTCAGTCGGACAGTGTGCGTGCATGTCACATGCAGAGATCTCACATCTGAGAGCTGAGGGGAGAAGTGGAGAATCTGGAAGCAGGGCTTGGTCACAGTCCGAGGGCACCAGCCTCCAACTGGGGCCCAGCTGGCACCTCCACTTGCCCTTCTCAAGCCTGCACCCCTGGAGGAGCCTGTAGCCGGCGATGGTGGCCCCGGGACTAACCCAGGCAGCTGGCATGGGGCTTCAGGAAGTCTTATACCACCTGATGGCAACTCAGGGACACAGGGCTGGGAGCCCTTGGCCGCAACGGCCAGCCTGCCACAGGGGTTTCTGGAAAGGCCGATCTCGGGGCCTGCATGGGCGCTAGGCAAGGGTGCACCTGGGGCTCCAGGGAGTGTCTGCAGGAGAATGGCAAAGGTTGCTGCTCTCCCAGAAAGCAGATGCTGGGCAGGGTCCTGGTTGGGGCATCTGGTGGGCATGGCAGCAGGCTGGAGAGGGGAGGCACTGAGAAGGTGAGCACCCGCCTTCTGCTAAAGCCACACTTGGCATGTTTTTGGGGGATGAGCCCACGTTGCGCCAATCAGAGGGAGCCCATCTGAGATGCCCGAGGGGGCTATGTGCTTGGGAGGGGACCCCGACACGAGGTGGGCTGCAGGTGCAACGTCGGCATGTGGGGAGGGGACAGAGCACCTGCAAGCTGAGGGGACCAGGGACCCAGCCCATGCTGCGCGCCCCAGTGTGGGTCAGGACTGCTGTGGGGAGCCCTAGGAAGGACACTGGGCACTGCCTGTCCTCAGATAATGGTGTCCCCAGGCGAGGCTGGTCTCCAGAGGCGTGTCCTTGAGGGGACCATGGGCTTACGGGGTGCACACCCTGTTGAGCCTCTTCACACCAGTCCTTGCTGATGGTGGAGTTCACCCAGTCAGCCCAGTGAACTTCATAATAAAGGTTCATGTCAACTTCACGTGCATCCTTGTTCTAAAGTCTTTTAATATATATTTTTGAATTTGGGTTATACTTCATTTTTTGAAGTAACCTCTACACCAAACATGGGGGTTGAGCTCCTAACCCCAAGGAGCAAGAGTTTCATTCTCTAGGACTGAGCCAGCCAGGTACCTCTAAAAGTCTTATTTTTGTAAGTTTTGATCTGATGCTTGTATCTAGAACACCAGGGGGGGGGGGATGGGAGAACTGATGAAAGGAGAAACTGGACCCACCAGTCTCTTGAAAAACTACCGTTAGCCTGTGGTAGAAGCAGAGCTGTGCCAATGGCCGGGCTGTGGCCCCGACCCCCAGTCACTCTCGATTCCTGTCCCGTCCAGGGTCGTCACCATCTGGGGCAAGGCTGCCTGGCCAGCCAGGCTGGGGCTCACAGAGACGCCGCTCATTCAGCGAGTGGCCTGTGAGTGGCAGGGCTGGTCAGAGGTGCCAACCCCCCCGGTCCTCAGGGCCTGTGTGGGAAGATGTGCCGTCAGAACCCACCACACACCACGGAGGGTGAGGCCGGGCTGTCAGGAAGCCAGTGATCCCACCTGGCCAGAGCTTTCCGAGGACGGTGACCAACAGCCTCTACCCCCAGGCCACCTGCATTCTACCAGCTCCCAACAACCCCATGTCCCAAGCGACGTCTAGGCCCTTGGAACCCGGCTGGATCAGCCTAAGCGCCTGTCACTCAGTGCTCCAGGACCGTGGCGTCTTTATTCCCATCTCAGAGAAGTGGGGTGTGGAAATGGCCTCAGGCTGGCCCTCCTAACAGGCGGGGGTTGGCAGGTTTGGGGGTGAGAAGTGGGAGCAGGACAGGCTCTGCGGGGGGGGGGGGGCGCCATCAGCCACCTACAGGCAGGACCGATCTGCTTCGTCTCAGCTGGCAGGTGGCAGAGCTGGCCAGCTCCACCTGGTGGCTGGCGCAGTGTCAGGAGGCCACTGGGGGAGGGGAGGGGCGCTCCAGCACTCCCGGGGGGGGGCGAGGGGGGGCAGTAGGAGAACTGCAGGCAGCCCGGCCTCCACCCAGAGGTCCCACAGCCTCAGTTTGGGACCCCGAGTTCCTGGCTCCTGCTGGCTGCTCCATTCAGGGACACGCAGAAGAGCCATGTCCTGCAGTCAGAGGCCAGGCCACGCGACCCTCCAGGACAGCCCAGGGAGGGGTCACTGGTGCAATCACCCAGACCCTGCTGCCTGATCACCCAGATCCTGCCGCTTGCCGGGAGCTCCGCTGGGGCGGGGGGCCCACGGCCAGCTGAAGCCGAGTCTCCGTCCCGCAGCTGGCTGGGCCCGCCCTCCCAGACCGCCCTGGCCTGCTGCTGGCTGGAGCACTGTGGCTGGCCTGCAGGGGGCTCCCCAAGGGAAGGGCCTGGGTGCAGCTCCTCCTCAGCCAGGGCAAGGGCACCCAGCCCCATTCTCTTCTTGGGGGCTGGTCGGGGCCCAGCTCCCTGTGGGTGGCCCCACCTAATGGCAGGTCAACTCGGGGACAGGACACTGTGGCTGGCTTCGCTGAGGGCAGCAGGTCTCTTGTGCAGTCTGTGTGTCACCCCCACCCCTCCCAGCTGGCGGCAGTTACACAGCTGCTAGAAGGGCCCACCAGGCTTCTCATCTCCTGCCTCAACCAGCCAGCCAACCTCATCCCAATGCTCAGGACCTCAGAACCCAGGTCACCCATGAAGGGGGCCACCGCCACAGTGCTCTCTGCCCCACGGTGGGGGGGGGGGTTCCTACAGATGGGGGGATCCTCCGCCTGTGAACCCCTCCAGTCCTGTCCTCGTTTCCTCATGTGGAGACAGGGGCAGCCCAGGAGGCTCCTGCCGGGAGGGAGGGCTGCAGTGCCCGGGAAGGGGCAGGGAAGGAGGGCCTGGGGACAGCCACGTCCAGGGCCCCTTCCCTACTTCCTGCTGAACTCCCTGGCCCGGCAGGTGGCGGCCTCCACGGCACTCATGGTGGCTGCCCGCAGTCCACCCTGCTCCAGGGCGTGGAGCCCGTAGATGGTGGTGCCGCCCGGCGTGCACACGTCTGTCCGCAGCTGGGCCGGGTGCTGCCCCTTCTGCAGCAGCAACTTGGCTGTGCCCTGGGGAGACGGGAGACGGCAGTGACTCGAGGGAGGCGGGCAGCCGCTCCTCCAGCTCAGTCCCACTGTGTAGCCTGCCCTCACCCCACCCCGCCCCCCTGGCCCTGACTCAGGTCCCCAGGCCTGCTGTCTCCCTTCCCGCTGCTCGGCAGACACACCGGCCCGGCCCTTTCACATGGAGCCGGGGGCTGCCCTCACTCACCAGCAGGGTCTGGGCAGCAATGCGGTGGGCCAGGCCGCTGGGCATGCCCATCTTGATGGCACCTTCGGCCAGGGCCTCGGAGAAGGTACACACCTGTAGCAACGGGTTTCAAAGTTGGCATCTCCTGGATGACGCACCCAGTCTAGAGAAAGCTTGGAACCTTCAGGAGCAAGGCCCAAAGCACTGGCCACCAGAGCGGGAACGAGGTCTGAGGCCTGAGCCCAGGGATCTGACGGGAGCACTCCTGCGCCTCAGAGGCGGGGGAGACCAGAGGTACCGGCAGCTCGGAGCCAAGCCATCTGATCCCAAAGGCAGGGGTCACTGCAGGGACTAGAAAAGGGTCCGCCCTGTCAAGAGCTGGCCTGGGGCACAGGGGAGGAGACAACACTCACGAAGGCCACGCCGCTGCCACTGAGGCCGGTGTGGATGTCCACGTGGGCCTCGGGCACCTCCTCGCACTGCCCACAGGCCTCCAGCAGGGTGTGCACGAGCTGGGCGTCGCTGCCTCCAGCGTGGCGGCCCCGGGCCATCACCATAGCGCCCTCCTGAACCATGCAGGGCAGGTTGGGGGAGATCCGCAGCAACCGCGTGGCCGGGGGCAGCAGCTGGCCAGAGAGAAGCGGGGGTCAGGGAACACGTGCGATCGGCCCTGCCAGGCAGGCCCGCGCCTCTGCCAGCGGTGGACTCCCCCGCCGGGTCCGGGGAGCAGTGCCCGAACCCCAAGACCCTCAGCCCCCGGGCCCCCCGGCCCCTGTTCGGGCTGTTTGGGAGGCCGCGTGTCTCCTGTCTCACGCACCCCGCCTTTCTAAAGGGCTGGAGTCAGGCTGGCACCAGTCCCAGACGGCAAGGGGTGGGGAGCAGAGCCTGGCCAGCAGAATGACTCTGGGGGCAAAGACTCAGCTCCTGTTTACCCCCCCCTCACCTCCTCCAGGGCACTCAGAGAGACCCCAGCAGCCACAGACACCAAGATGTGCTCAGGGGTTACCACAGGGGCCACCTCTGCCAGGACAGTGGGCAGGACACGGGGCTTGGTGGCAAAGAAGACCAGCTGGCAGTTCCGCACAACCTCCTGGTTGGAGTGAGTGATCTGGCAGCCCAGAGCCTGCAGTGGGGACAGCGGGATCATGGCTGGGGTGAAGCGGGGCAGCCTCCCAGACCGTGGTCCTTCCTGCTGGGCGCCACTTTACATCCCCAGGGGTCCCCGTGGACTCTCCCATTGCAGATGCCTGCAGCACCCCACTCCCAATGCCCAAGGCTCACCCAGACCACCCGTTCTTGCTCAGGACCCAACCTGCACCCCACGGGCCTCGCTGATGCCAGCACTCCTCACGCCCTCTGACCCAGTGGGTGCTCACGACCATCTCTGCCCACCCCAACACAGGTACACGCGTGCACATGCACACCCCCCTCTACTCTGTCCTTGCCCTCCACAACCTTGACCTTACTTCTCGTTCTTTTTTTTTTTTTTTTTTTTTTTTAATATTTTTATTTATTTCTAGGAGAGAGAGAAACAGCGTGAGCAGGGTAGGGTCAGAGGGGGAGAGGGAGTCACAGACTGAAGCAGGCTCCAGGCTCTGAGCTGGCAGTCAGCACAGAGCCCGACGCGGGGCTCGAACCCACGAACCGCGAGATCATGACCTAAGCGAAAGTCGGACGCTTAACCGACTAAGCCACCCAGGCGCCCCCCTTACTTCTCGTTCTTGACCTCCTCTTCCCCAGCCCAGATAGTCTCAAAAGTTCAGCTACATAAGCAGCATGTCCCTGCCCCCAAGAAGTGTCTCAGAGGACCGGGAGCCAAGAGCCCCCATGAGCTCTGCCGCCACCCCCCCAGAATAGCCTCAAGTCAGAAGAGCTGGGGACCAGCTCACCTGGAAATGGCAAAGGTTCCTGTCACTTGGTGCGCTGGCCAGCACGTGCTGAGCTTCGACCTTTCCTGGAGAGAGAGGCAAAAAGCAGAAGGGCCCGTGAGGAGGTGGGGTGGACGGGAGGCAGAGGAGCCAACCTGGCCTGCCCCCCACCGGGGGGCCTCTCACGCTCAGCTGTGCCTGCGCCATCCTGGCCACTGGCTGTCTGAGACTCTGTAAGAACCGAAGTGCGTGGCAGGGGCGCTCCATTCAGCCAGGACTAGTTGACCCCGTCCATTCTGGGGGTCAGTCAGTCAGTCTCCACCACCCGCCTGCTGCTGCGTCCGCAGGCCCCGCTAGACACCGGGCCCAGGAGCTGCCTAGTCTGACAAGGACACGGACCGCAGGGGCCTAGGCTTCCAGGGACAGGAAGGCCGGGGAGGAGGGGGGCACGGTGGGTAGGGAGGCCCAACAGTGCCAAGCTTCCTTGGATGTGGGGGGTGTACCGGTGCTGGACATCCAAGCAGAGGCTAGGTGCCCATCTGACGGACATCGTCTGCACTTGTCGGGCACGGGGCTGAGGAGGCGACATCTCTGTAAGGCCTAACAGGGCGGAAGCGCACCCCACCGGGACACACAGCCCATCAGTCCAGACGGTGACAAGCATTCCCACCAGTCCCGTGCTCAACGCAGAATCTGTGCCACCCTGGGAGGAAGGAGATGCTGGCAGGTTTTACAGGTAAAACACTTGAGACTTTTGGAGGAAAGTATTTTCTGATGATTCTGACACAGCCTTGACTGTGGCTGAAGGCAGAAACCCAGCCTGTAATCTACACATAAAGGTTTCTAAACTCCGGGGAGGAAGTTGGGACAGCACTGCCACGCCTTGCTGCAAACCAGTGCCTCGCCAGGGAAGTCTCTGCACCTCCCCAACCCCAGGGGACATGCAGCAACTTCGGGAGACAGTTCTGGCTGTCTCACGGGGGATGCTACTGACATCTAGTGGGGAGAGGCCAGGGACGCGGCCAAACACCCTACAATGTGAAGGATGGAGAACTATCCCACCCCGAACGCCCATGGTGCTGCGAGGCTGTGAAAATCCGCCGCGGGCCGCCGGGGCACAGCCGGCGTACAAACAGGAAACAGGAGGCTCAAAGGTCAAGCGACTGGACCCAGGCAGGAGACCAGGGGTTGGTGGGAGACCCCGGCTCTAAGCGAGCCCTGTCCAGGAGAAACACCACTGAAGCCACACAAGGAGCTCTGCACCTTCCAGCAGTCACATTAAACACGTAAAGGGAAAAGTTGAATTATTTGAAAAAAGTTGAATGTAACATGACAATGCAGCTAATTGGAATATATTTTACTTAGCACGATATAAAGAATATGCTATCATGCAAAATGTTGGTTTTAAACAGCATTAAAAGTTATCCAAGTACGTTACTTTCTCTTTCTGTGTCTGCTAAATCTTCAGACTCGACGCAGGTTTTAACCTATAAACTCACAGCACGTCTCAACGCGGACCATCCACATTTCCGTGGCGGGTGGCCTATGGCCAGTGCGGGGACGACCCACGCTAAGCCTCGCACGCACAGCCGTGCCTGCCGTGCGCCGCGGGTCCCCAGGGGCAGGGCGCGCCCCCCGCCCGCGCCCCCCGCCCCCACGCGGCCCCGCGGCCGCCCCAGGCGCCCCGCGGCGCACATTCCTCCGCGCAGGGCAGCCCTCCCCTCGCACACGGGCCCCAGGCCCGGGGACCCACGCGCCCCCACGCCCGCGGCGCCCCACCTGCTCGGATGAAGCCCTGCGCGAGGGCCTCAGCCATACGCCCGGCGCCCACGAAGCCCACGCGTAACGGGTCCTGCCGCGGCGCCGCCACGGCCGCCATCTCTCCACCTCCCCGCCAGGCTTTGCCCCGCCCCACGCTCTCGGCCCCACCAATGGGCTACGCCTCCACGCCCATGCCCTTGTCCATTGGCTGCCGGGACTTCACGCTCCGCCCACTCCCTTCCGGGAATGCTTGCGGAGCCTCGAGTCCGGGCTTCTCCCGCGCGGCGGCGCTTCCGGCACGAGTTACTCGCCTGCGGAGGTGGCCGAGCACGCCGCGGCTGGATGCTGGGTGGGCGCCTGGTGGCGACCAGATTCCGATCGGAGCTTGAGAGACTCGGTTCAACGGCGAAGGGTCGAAAGGGTGGGGATCCTCTGAATCCTCCCGAAGGTCTGTGCGCTGGAGCGTGCGTGGTGGGCGTCCCTCGTGGGGACGCCGCAGAGTCCGGGAACCCACCGGCTGGTGACCGCCGGACCGACCAGCTTCCAGGGGCAAGCACCAACCCTGACCCCGACGAAGGGCCCGGGCAGGCCGGGTCCGGACCCTGGCCCGCCATCAGGACGTGAGGAGCTGGGGGTGGAGCCCTGCCAGCCTTAGGCGGGCTTCTCTGGGCGGCAGCCACGTTCTCGGGGGCGCCCAGGTTCTCTTTGGAGCCTGGGAGCGGGCTCGGGTGGACAGGGCAGGGCTGCCTGGGCAGGGCTTGTAGTCAGCTCCCGTCCAAGCTGCAGCGGCTCCAGGTGACAGCATGCCCGTGAAACGTGTGAGCAGGGGTCTGTTCCTCCAGCCAGCCCGGATCCTGGTCTTCATGGGCCTCGCAGGTACCGCGATAAGGCAGGAGAGGTCTTCCTGAGGGCCGGCTCCCCAGCGGACACCTGGCCCATCTTGCTGGTTCTGGGGGAGACTGAGTGCTTGGTGACCGCCAGGGCCCATGTTTGAAACTGATGAGAGGGTAGGGGTAGCAGTACTTGTAAGTTTTGTGTTGTTTTGTTTTGTTTTTGAGAGTGAGCCTGAGGGAGGGGCAGAGAGGAGAGAGAGAATCCCAGGCAGGCTCTGCACTGTCAGCACAAAGCCCAACTCAGGACTCAATGTGACTATCCTAGATCATGACCTGAGTTGAGATCAAGAGATCTGGGTTTTTGTTTGTTTTTTAAATTTTGTGAGAGAGAGACATAGCACGAGCAGGGAAGGGATGGAGTGAGGGAAACACAGAATCTGCAGCAGGCTCCAGGCTCTGAGCTGTCAGCACAGAGCCCGATGAAGGGCTCAAACTCATGAACCACGAGATCATGACCTGAGCTGAAGTCAGACGCTCAACCGACTAAGCCACCCAGGGACCCCTCAAGAGCTGGGCTCTTAACTGACTGAGCCACCTGGGTGTCTCAAATGCATGTAATCTCTAATTGGTATGGGACAAATAAGGCTTGAAGAGCAAAGATTGTAGTTTTCCTTAAGATTGCATTTTAAAAATGTTTTAGGGCGCTTGTTGGTTGGGCGTCCAACTCTTGATTTCGGCTTGACTCTTGGTTTTGGCTGGGGTGGTGATCCCAGGCCATGGGATGGGGCTCCGCACCTAGCATGCAGCCTGCCCGAGATTCTTTCTCTCTCCTTCTGCCCCTTCCTGCACACATGCTCTCTCTCTAAAATATATACAATTTTTAAAAAATGTTTGGTTACTCTAACCTCTACTTTGACATATTCTAAACGCTTCAAGGATGAAATCGTCTTGTCCTTGTGTGTGGACCCTGTGGTGTGTAGACCCTGCTCTGAGGACAGCCACCGGGCCACAGACTGGAGAGGAACCTCTGCTTCGAGGACTTGCGTCCTGGCTGGACACGCAGCCTGTGACGTGTGCACGCACAGGACAGTATGGAGGACGGCTCAGGACATGCAGCCACCAGGCTGCCGGGTGTGTCCGGGTCTCTGCTCTGCTGGGCCTCCTGCTATACGATCTCACGTGGCTGCCTCAAGCTCCGTCTCAGGCACCACCCCCTCCCGGAAGCCCTGAGCAGAGCCTTCCTCATCCACAAGGGCCGGAGCCCAGGGAATACAGGGCTGACCCACGTCCTAGAGCCCAAGCCCTGGGGGGAGGGGGAGGCTCCCGGGTGCCCCCAGACGCGCACATGGGAGTCCCACAGCAGAGGGGCGCTCAGAGGAGCACCTCACCCGAGGCCTAAAAGGTGGGGAGGCACTGATGTGAGGGTCCTGGGCCAGCCCCCAGCAGAGCCCTGGGGGACAAGCACCACCGCCTGCTGGAGAAAGGGGGGGGACCCGGGCCATGAAAGGCCAGCTGGGTACAAGAACAGAGGTGGGGGGGTGGTGCCTGGCCCTGAGAAGACGGCCAACGCTGCCTGAACAGAGGGAGGAGTTAACATGGCAGGCACATCTGGGGTCAGGACAAAGCTGGGAGCCACCAGCACGGGGATGGTAAAGGGTGACCCAGGAGAAAGGGGACCTGAAAGGAGACGGGCCCAAAGCCAGGGAAGGTGTCTGGGTCCCGGGCTGGGCAGTACTGAGGGCTTTTGAGATGGGGAGCTGGGCACTCCTGAGGCCACACCCCAGCACTGACTAGCTGGCTGGGGGCCCCTGCTGTATCCCGCTGAGAATGGGGAGGTCTGAGCTGCTCCCCCCTACCCACCAGGTCTTCCTTCGTGACACCGTCGTTACTGTCCAGGGGAGAGGGGCATGCCAGGCCCCATCATAAGCTGCCATCTGATGGCTAGGGACATGAGGGGCAGGCCTGGCTCCGCTCTCCCCCGGGATCCCAGTCACCCCCTCCTCTTGGATCCATCCCATGCCTACTCAGGACAGAGCAGCTTCCTTCCCCAGAGGCCTGGGGCCCTGGGAGTTCAAGTCACCCAGGCCGGCATGTGACCTCATGTGGAAAGGCTGAGCTGTGGCCAGGGCATCAGCTGGGATTACTAACAGGTGCTCTGCCCTGGACCCCCACCATTGACTCTCCACTGCTTCCACCCTGCAGCCTGCCTGGGTCTCACCCACACGCCCGCCTCTGCCCTTTCGCTCCAGGGACAGCTGGCCACCCTGGCCTGGCACTTTCTGAGGCTGAGCAGCCAGTGGGCGAATGGTGGGTCCTGGGGCCAGGCTCAGGGAGGCAGTGAGTGCCCGTGGTGGGAGGGACACAGCTGGCACAGAGCTGCTGGGGGTAGGCCTGGGAAAATAGACTTTATTGGCTCCCAGGGAACGGGAGAGCAGGATCAGAAATGGACACATGTAGGACCAGGGGACTGGCCAGGCCTTGGTTTCCCTGAGGACAGACATAAATAGTGGCCACGCCACACAGCTGCTCGGAGCCGCCCTGGCAGAGGGGTAGAACGTGGGCCCAGGGTGCTGGCAGGGTCTGAGGGTGTCACCTCTGGGGCTTCGGGGACAGCAGGCGCCTGCTCCCACACTGTACTTCACTTCCGGGCCTGTTCGTAGTTGTGGGTGAACCAGGCACAGGTCTCCTTCACGGCTGCAGAGGTGGGCAGGTGACAGGTGGTGGCAGGTGAGGGCTGAGGCTGCACTGACCTCCACTGGAGGAGACGGGGAGGGTAGAGAGCCCGGCAACATAGGCAGTCACCCTTCTGACTCCTGTCTCCCTGACAAGGGTTTCAACACCAGACCTACAGGGTGTCTTCAGCTCAAACAAGGAGGCCAATGCTTGGGGGGGGGGGGGGCGGGGGTGACCCAAAGCCAAGAAGGAAGGGCTAGGAGGTCCTGAGGAATGGGGTGGGAGAGCCTTAGGAGGGCCAGGGGGCTCACCCTGCTTGAAGGGTGTAAACCGGAAGTCAGGCAAGTAGGTCCGAAGCTTGCTGTTACTGGCCGTCTTCTTAAACTGCCCGTCTGACTTGGTTGTATCAAACTAGGTGCTTGGTCAAGGTCACAGCAGAAGGAGCGCCTCCCCCTGCCCCCACCACAGCCTGCCCTTGAACCTGCCTTTCGCAGGGGTAGCTTTGGGGACAGAAGAACACCCTCCTCTCCAGCTGCCAAGGGAGGGCCACTTGCATCCATCAGCCCCACCGTGCCCTGCCCCAGAACCAAAGGATACAGTGACCTCCCCACGGAAGTCCATGGCCTCCACCACGGCTTCGGCTGCCTCCTGGATAGAGACCTCATCCTCCTCACCCACTGTGTGGAGAGGAGGGTCAACAGCCAGGTGAGGTCTCCTCCACCCGGCCTTGCAGTGACCCAGCCCCCCGCCCGCCACACTCCCGTTCCTGGCCTTAGCCGCTCTCAGCACGGCTGGGGTTCCGCCCTGTGGCGGTGGCAGAGGGGCCACAGGGTGCCCACCTGACAGGATGATGGGTTCCACCTCATCGTACTCCCGCAGGACCCAGATGAAGAGGCGGGCCAGGTCCTGGAAGTTAGGGTCAAAGGGCACAAGTCACGGCCACCTGGAACCACAGGCCACCTCTCCTAAGCGCCCCTGCTCGGTGAGGGCACAGCCTGGGCTCCCCTCGGGCCAGAGGTCGCTCCCTTTGGGCACCTCTTAGCCAGCTCAGCCCACCCAACAGAAAGAGCCTGATCCCTGAGCTCAGAGCTGCACCCAGCGACCGCTGCGGGCCGCAGGCACCTGTGGGGACCCATCAAGGACCAGTGACTGTTCCTCCAGAGGCTCAGGCCGGACCCTCACTCGTTTCTGGGGCTCCCTCCCACTGCGGCCTTCCCACAGCCGGCATGCAGGCCAGGGAACGTTCTAGTGGAGAGCCAGGCCCAGTCCTGCACACACCAGTGAGTAAATGAACTGCCTCCGAGGCTTTCCGGTGCCCCACACCGTCAGGGCAGAGCCGCTGCCTGCAGAGTCAGGGAGAGGGCAGGTGTCAGAGGGCCCCCACCCCCGCGCGCCCTCCCCGGGGCCTCCTCCAGCAGCCACTCACTCTTAGCCAGGTGCACCTTGTGGATCAGGCCGGGCAGCACGTGGCCATCCTCGATGTTGAAATTGTCGTGGGGCCCAAAGACGTTGGTGGGGATGACAGCAGTGAAGGTGCAGCCGTGCTGCTGGAAGTAGGCCCTGCGGGGTCACAGCGTCTCTTCCGGCCCCGCCACGCCCGCCGCCCCGCCACACGCGCCACACCCGCCCGGGCCTCCGAGGGGTGGAAACCCCGAGGCCCGCAGAGAGGGCACGAAGCATGGGAGCGCGCCAGGGTGCCCACTGGGCCCTCCTCCCTTTGCCTGTCCGGCCTCAGCTGGGCCCGCAGGCGGACGACCTGTTCTGCACGTCGATCATCCTCTTGGCATAGGAGTAGCCAAAATTGCTGCTGTGCGGAGGCCCGTTGTGGATCTAGGCGAGCAGAGCGAGCCTTTGCTTTCCTGGCCCCGCCCCCGCTGGCCCCGCCCCCGCCGGCTCCCCGCTGGCCCCGCCCCTCACCATAGTCTCGTCAATAGGGTAGGTGGTCTTGTCCGGGAAGATGCAGGTAGACAGGCAGGAGACCACCTTGCGCGCGCCCACCTCGAAGGCCGAGTGCAGGACGTTGTCGTTGATGTGTACGTTTTTCCTCTGGCGTCGGGGGGGAGGGGGCGGGCAGGGCAGATTCAAGCCCCTTTAGACAGGACCCCAGCCCTTATCTGCTCCTCCAGGGACAGAAGCAGGGCCTCCTCCGGGGACACCCTGGCCTCTCCCACGAGAGCAGCACCTGAGCCAGTTTATCCTAACTGCTCCCTGGGGCAAGGCAAAACCTCCAAGCATAGACCTTCCAGAAACCATGCCCCACTCCAGGCCTGTTAGCAGGCAGTCCTTTGCCCCCACCCCACCCTTGGGGCTGTGGGTGGGGCCGCCGCCGGAGGAGAGGACCACTTTCCCCAGCTCGGGGCGGGGCCTCCCTGGCACAGGCTGCTGGGGGCAGGCCCAATGTGGCCCGGACAAGGGTGGGGAGAAGGGGTACCTCCCCTCCCTCCCCCCAGGAGCCTACCCAACTATACCAGCCAGTAGCAGTGAAGCCTTGGGCAGCCCCACCCCTCCCCAGACCCGTGAAGGGAACCCGGCGGGGAGATGGCCCAGGCATTTGGAGATGGAGAGACAATGGCACTCTAGGGCAACTGGCACGGAGACTGGGAAAGCCCTGGGGTGAGGCGCCCTGGGCAGAATCTGACCTGAGGCTCTGCCATCCTGTGCCATCACGACCAGATGCCCAGCAATGGTGGGGCCAAGCGTCAGGGGCGCAGCGTGGCCCAGGGCTAGAGGCAGAGCCCTGCCCCCTCCTGCCCCTTCCGCCACGTCCCAGCCCCCAGGCCGGACGCCTCAGACCCAGAGCCCAGCTCACACCTCTGCGCCCCAGGATGCATGCTGGGCCTGGTTCAGTGCAGCTGGACCAGTCTGGGGAGCAGAAGGGTCTAGAGGCCTGGAGGACTCAGGGGTAGGAACCAACCCTATCGAAGTCAAACAGCAGAGGCTGGCTTCTCTCAGTGCCTCCGTCCCACCGTCAGTCCATGGCTCTTCCTGTGGGGCCAAGTGTCCCACCCCCCTGGACACCCATCTGCCTACGAAGCAATTGTGGGTCACGGGAGACCCCACAGGGACTGCCCCCACCGGGCTGTGCCAAGCCCTGACCTGCAGAGACTTCCTGGGGCCGACACATGAGCACGGGAAGCCAACGAGAAGTTCCCAGTGCTCCACGGGGCCCTGTCACTTACCCAGAAGTCCAAATTGTATTTGATATTCCGGAACAGGCCCCCCACCATTGCAGCAAGGTGGATGACATGTGTGGGCTGCACCTTTTCAAACAGGGCTCGGGTCTGCGCAGCATCCCTGGGAGGAGCCAGGGCAGGAACTGGCACCCGGGGCTGGGGTACTGGGGGCAGGGGTGGACAGGGCTGACGGCAGGAAGGGCTGCCACAGAGCGAAGTGCTGAGCGCAGGTGCTGGCTGGCGTGAGGCGTGGGCTTCCGGGAAGAGATAGGAGGATGTTTGCCTAGGAACAGAGCTGCACACACCCAAGCCAGGCCAGCCACCTGGCAGGAAGGACCCGGACATGAGGCTACCAGGCTCAGGGACAGCCTGCCTGGAGCTCTGAGTCTCGAGAGGTGTGGGTGAGTGTGCGCCGGGGGTGGGTCCACTCACGTGAGGTCAGCATCCTTGGAGGAGACGAACACCCAGTCCTCTCCAGGCAGCCTGGCTCCATCTGCTACCACCTGTTGGATGGCTCTGCCCACCAGCCCAGTGCCACCTGTCACTAGGATTCGCACTGACCCCCCAGGCTCACTCATGCTGGCTGCACCTGCAGGGGCAAATGGTGGGAGGCCGATGGAACCCCACTCCCTGGAGATGTCACTGCCCTTAGCACTGGGCCCCACGCAACTGTCCAAGGGCTAGACCAGGGTTTGCTGGGGCAAGTGGGACAGGATGAGACCCCCAGGGGAGAAGAGAGAGCCTGCGGGGGACCAGAGAGACCCAGTTGGCCTGAGCCTCCTCCTCCCCACCCCATTCCCTAGGGAGCCTTCTGCCTAGAACTGCACAGAGGTCTTGGGGGGTCTCACCCAGCCAAGAAAGCCTGGGTCGCAGGCACTGCCCCGTAGGCCCAACCGAAGACTCATACTGGACCAAGAAAAGGAACACTGGGCGTTCTGCACACCACGGGCAGACAAGTGGGAAGGCAGACAATCTTGCGGCTGGGGGATCCTGGCCCGTATCAGGAAGGTTACTCCCAGCCAGAGCTCACATGCCATAGACAAGGAAGGGGCAGGGTTTGCAGTCCACTGCCCACTGGCAGCCAGCTGGTCCGGGGGAGCCTTTTTGCCAGCCTAGTTCCTTCTAGGCAGGTGGCACTTCCGGCTCAGAACCAGACAAGACTCAGGGCACCACCCTTGAGAACCCTAGCCTAGGGGCTGGAAGTCCGCTCGGGCCCCTACAGGACGGCTCTGAGCCAGCTGCACGGCCTCATGGCCGGCAGCAACCGGAGGGGATAGTGCCGCGACATCCGCCGCTCCCGACCGCGCCTGCAGTTCAATAGCAGGTCAGTGGGGAAACACCCCCGCGTCCGGGACTCCTCCCACGCCCCGATCTTCTCCCAGATCCCCGGGACACCTCCATGCCCACGGGTCCCCTTCCACGCCCTCGGAGTCCGCACACCCCTCAGGGTTCCGCGGCTGTCACGAAGCAGCCAGGGCCCGGGCCGCAGCTCGCCACGCCGGGTCCCCGGCGGGATCCTCGGCGCCGGCGCGGCGTCTCACCTGTGCGCTGCCCCACCTGCCCGTCTCCCGAAGAGCGGCTTCCGGCAGCGGATTGAACTTCCCGAAGCGTGCAGGGGCCAGGTGGAGGGGGCGGAACCGGCGGGGACCCGGCGGGCGCTCCCGCGGCACTCTGGGAAATGCAGTCCCGGGGCCGCCCCGGGCGCTGCCGGGAAGTGGAGTCTGGGGACGCGCAGCCGCCTGGGAAACGTAGTTCTCGGTGCTCCGCCTCCCTGCGGCCTCAGGGTAGGGGATTGAGAGACCCCGTTTGCTCCGCCTGGGCGCGTGGTGGTGGGAGAGGCGCGGAGGCCGAGTGTCGCGGAAACGCCGCAGCCTCAGGAAGGGGGGTCGGCAGGCGCCCGGCCGCGGCTTCAGGACAGCGACCGTCCGCGGGCGGGCCTCGGCGGCTGAGGCGCGAGCTACCGGGTCCGGAGCGCTGAACGCGGCCGGCGCGCTCTCCACCGCCCTTCGGGCGCCTGGGGGACCGGCGGGTCTGGGCCTCCCGGCTTGGGGTGGGGGGGGAGGTCGCGTGGCCGCCCACGGGCCTTCTCTCTAAATGCAGGTATTTAACAGCACCCGACCTTGCCAACACACTGGCAAACAATGTGCTGTGCCCTCCGACCTTGACAACATATTATGAAAATATATCCCATTAAAAAATACCCATAGATTTGGGGGCACTTGGGTGGCTCAGTCGGTCGGGCATCTGACTTCGGCTCAGGTCATGATCTCACGGTTCTTGGGTTTGAGCCCCGCGTCGGGCTCTGTGCTGACAGCTCAGAGCCTGGAGCCCGTTTCGGATTCTGTGTCTCCCTCTCTCTCTGCCCCGCCCCTGCTCACGCTGTCTCTCTCTCAGAAATAAAAAAAAATTTTTAAATAAATAAATAAACTTTTGATTTGCTGACTTCTAGCTATAGAAAATAAACAAATTTTCTATAGCTGGAAATAAGCAAACCATCAGAGACGGGTGAATAATTACACGTGTCTGGATGCTAGACGCTGTAAAGAGACTATGTGAGGTGCCTGGGTGGCTCAGTCGGTTGAGCTTGGACTTCCGCTCGGGTCATGATCCCAAGGGTCGCTCTCTGCTGTCTGCCTGTGAGTGCAGAGCCCAGAGCCCGGTTCAGATCCTCTATCCCTCGCTCTCCGCCCCTCCCCCACTTGCACGATCCCAAAATAAATAAATATTAAAAAGAAAGATACCGAACTTCCCACACTACTGCATAGTCATCCTATATAATTTAGTTTTCTTGTCTACATTTCACCAGTTACTAACCATGTTATTAGAATCACAAGTCGTCACATAATTTGTGTTCTTTTGACTGCAGTGCCAAGTCACAGACTTTCCTAAGTCTTTGCAGTTTTCTGTTTTTGTTTTGTTTTGCTTTATTTTTTTTTTTTTTACTGTTTTATTTATTTGTGAGAGAGGGATAGAGACAACATGAGCAGGGGAGGGTCAGAGAGAGAGGGAGACACAATCTGAAACAGGATCCAGGCTCTGAGCTGGAGCCTGATGTGGGGCTCGAACCCACAAACGGTGAGATCGTGACCTGAGCCGAAGTTGGACACTTAACCGACTGAGCCACCCAGGCGCCCCATGTTTTGTTTTGTTTTTCAGTTTGCTTTATTTGAAGAAACTGCTTTGCTGAGCCCGTAGCAGCTGAAACCAACAATAAAAATCCGTAAAGCAGTACTTAGATTCAGAAATGGACTGTGGATTTTTACATATCATGTTCCCACACTGTAACAGGGTTGCATATGATAATGTATTGGGATTGCAGAAAATGTTAGCAAATACTTTAATTCAGATTTAAAGTCATCACCCCCCACCCCACAGAGTGTCATTTACCGGCTATTATGGCAGTGCAATACTTTGTAAGCTCTTTCACGTTTTATAAGCTGAAATACGATAAAGAAAACCAAAAGTAGCAAATGACACTCAACTTATTTACACTTTAAAAAATATTTTTTAATGTTTATTCATCTTTGAGACAAAGAGAGAGAGAGAAAGCGAGCAGGCAAGGGGCAGAGAGAGAAACACAGAATCTGAGGCAGCCTCCAGGCTGAGCCCAATACTGGGCTCAAACCCACAAACCATGAGATCACAACCTGAGCTGAAGCGGGCACTTAACTGATTGAGCCACCCAGGCACCACTATTTACAGGTCTTTTTAATTGGTATTATACTTTCATCTGTAGCAATCAGAAAATCGTTTCTAGGGGCACGTGGGTGGCTCAGTCGGTTAAGTGTCTGACTTCGGCTCAGGTGATCATCTCACGGTTTGTGGGTTTGAGCCCCGCCTCGGGCTTTCTGCTGACAGCTAGCTCAGAGCCTGGAGCCTGCTTCTGATTCTGTGTCTCCCTCTCTCTCTGACCCTCCCCTGCTCATGCTGTCTCTCTCTCAGAAATAAATAAAGCATTTTTAAAAAGTCGTTTCTATTAAAATTACATTTGGGTTTATTTTTGTGAGAATGTTCTCCTTCATGGTCATGCAAACTTTTCTTCTGTTTCAATTTCACATATTTATTGGAATGTGACTCTTGTGTGTTTCATGTTCTGTTTCTGTCCATTTAGAAAAACACTTTCTCTAAAATTAAACAAATCTATTTTCAAATCCCTTTGAAAGTGGACTTATCAACCTTAGCTCTCTTCAGGGTTCAGTCAGCTCTACAAATACCATAAATAACCAGTAACAGTTCACATCAAGTAGCTGAGGCAGCACGGATTCAAAATTGATTTTCTTTTGTAGGAAAGGCCGTTCTTGTGAGCACCTTTCGTGTGCCTTCTCTCTTAGAGCTGCCACATCTGCTCAAGCTTGAACCCAGTTCCTTTAGTGTTTATCCCCAGATCCCAGGATGTGTCTTAGGCAGGGAGAGGTTCAAGGTCAAAATTGATCCATATTTCATCAAGATGTACTGTCTCTGGGCTAAATCAAAAAACACCCTGATTTTGAGTTATTTTTAGCAGAATTAGCAGTCAGCACGACTGAGGCCACATCTCGGGCACAGAGAAAATGATGCTCCACAAATGACACAAGTAATACATCTAGTTTTCCACCCTAAGTTCTGGCTGCCTCACCTTTTTCTCTGCTAGCCATTTTAGTTCCATTTCCCTAGACTTACTTTCAACAACCTTTTAAATCAGAGCATAAGATTCAAGGCTTTTTATTTTTATTTTTAATTTTTTAACATTTATTTTTGAGAGACAGAGCATAAGCAGGGGAAGAACAGAGAGAAAGAGGGAGACACAGAATCCAAAGCAGGCTCCAGGCTCTGAGCCATCAGCACAGAGCCCAACACAGGGCTTGAACCCATGAACCCCGAGATCATGGCCTGAGCCAAAGTCAGATGTTTGACTGAGCCCCAGGTGCCCAAAAACTCAAGATTAAAAAACAAAAAAAAGGGGCGCCTGGGTGGCTTAGTCGGTTAAGCGTCCGACTTTCGCTTAGGTCATGATCTCGCGGTTTGTGGGTTTGAGCCCCGCGTCGGGCTCTGTGCTGACTGCCAGCTCGGAGCCTGGAGCCTGCTTCAGAGTCTGTGACTGCCTCTCTCTCTGACCCTCCCCTGCTCACGCTGTCTCTCTCTCTCTCTCTCCTAGAAATAAATAAAAAAAAATTAAAAAAAAAAAAGCTTTTCACTTAAGTCAAAACCTGAACCATTTCAAAATTAGTAAAATCAGTAAAATACTCATCAATGTTTTGGTTTCCTTTTTTGAAGATCATCATTATAGATAATACATGTTGGTTGTTGGGGCGCGTGCATGGCTCAGTCAGTTCAGCATCAGATTCTGCCTTTCCCCTGCTCCCTCCCTCCCTCTCTCTCAAGATAAATAAATAAACTTAAAAACAAATAACGGGAGGGGCGCCTGGGTGGCTTAGTCGGTTAAGCGACCGACTTTCACTTAGGTCATGATCTCGCGGTTCGTGGGTTCAGGCCCCGCGTCAGGCTCTGTGCTGACTGCCAGCTCAGAGCCTGGAGCCTGTTTCAATCTGTGACTCCCTCTCTCTCTGACCCTCCCCTGCTCACGCTGTCTCTCTCTCTCCTAGAAATAAATAAAACATTAAAAAAATTTAAAAAAAAAAACAACAAATAACGGGAAAATCCCCAGAGCTTTTTGAAGAGCAGGAATGTCTGTGGGTTGTACAGCGGAGGTTCATTAAGAAAAGAGGTGAATTAACTAACGGGTCAGATCTTTCTTGCTTTTCTTCCTGTTCCAATCTGTGATTTCAGGAGTTCTCAGAAATCAATGCAGGATTTGCAATACTGGCTGAGGAATATTTTGCAATGTTAATTCATATTTCCCTTGGATCTACATATATCTAAGTCTAGATGAAACACACGTTTGACTTAAGGAAAGAACTGGGGAGGGTCGCCTGGGTGGCTCAGTCAGTTAAGCATCCGACTTGTGCTCAGGTCATGATCTTGTGGTCCACAAGTTCGAGCCCCGCATCGGGCTCTATGCTGACAGCTTGGAGCCTAGAGCTGCTTCAGATTCTGTTCCTCCCTCTCTCTCTGCCCCTCCCCTGCTCATGCTCTGTCTCTGTCTCTCAAAAATAAATAACATTAAAAAAAAAATAAAAAAAGGAAAGGACTGGGGAAAAGCAAAATACTGTTTTAGACATTGATTTAAAAAATTATTGAGGGCAACTAGATGCTACTGGCACTGATATGGTTGGAGAAGTTAAAAGTGAACAAGCCAGAATTTTTGGCCAAAGAGCAGAAGCATTTTTTGTGCTACATGTTATGTTGCGGGGAGACCTAACTTTAACTGCACTGATGGCGATGACATTCTCTAGATCAAACACTGTATTTTCTGGATCTGCTCAAAGATGAAACATCTTGGAAAACCACATCACATTTGACCTTGTAATCAACCTTGGACACGTATTAAGAGTGCTGACTTTGGACGTCATGTATATTTAATTTAGATACTGGAAGGCCCTGAAGACCTAAGCAAGACAATGTAAGGTTCCCAAAGAGCAAAGCATGGTCCCAAGTAGCAAAGAGAGTTACTCTTGACTTTGTGCTACACAAAGATATTTGAGATGGACTGTTTTTCATTAATGATACTGACAAAAGTTTAACAAAAAAATCTACATTTGACTTTTTTTTTTTCACAAT